TCTAATCGACTGGGTTGTTCACTTCTGAACTTTGGGGAGATCCCGAACTCTAGTCTACTGAACCTCGTTTTGACATTTCTATGGCCATCTCTGTTTACCATGGGAGGGGAAAGGGTTAATATACTTTGCTCATGGTTCTGGCTGGGTTGTTTAAAAATGGCTCCTGGAATTCATTATCCCAGGCTGAACACCGTAGTGGGATGCTACCACAACAATAAGGGGAACCATTGCCATCTGAGCTGGCATGAGGATGAAGAACACACTTTTCAACAACCCACATGAAACAAAAAGCTGGAATCCACTGCCCCAAACTCAGGAATGGGCGGCAGTCCTCCGTTGCAGGCACCCGTCTGCAACTCAAGTCTAGAATAAGCCGCCTCTTGCCTGGGCGCGATGACACAACCCGAAGAAACAACACCTGCCAGTTTGCTTCGCATCTTGTGCGTTGACAAAGGGGCGATAGAACAAAGGCTACACCGCCTCTTGCAAAGAAGCTGCGGTCAGCGCATCATCCTGAATTGGCTGGTAATTCAACACATACTGCTCTGCTCGACATTTTGCACTGGGAATCATGCCAAAGTTCATTATAAACAAGCTTGCTGAGAATGGGAAGCAAAGCTGTCAGACATGCATCCCGGCACGTTGCAGGCCAAGAAGAAGCTATAGCACAAACAGTACTACCCTGCTTTCCTGTGAGAAAGGACTGCCTTTCCTTGGCCAGCCCGGCACACCGAGCACATATTGAACAAATATGCTTCTTGTTTAGTCAACCTTAAACTGTGACATAAAAAGCCGCCCATGGCAATTGGCTCGTCAGCCAGCCTATTGTCCAGCTTCTGTGGAGCGATTTTCTGAGCGCAGGGCCCACCAAATCCACAAGAGCGTGGAGGCGCTCTTTGTCCATCTGGCGAAATCGCTTCGAGAGATGGGTGTGCTTTAAAACAGGGACATCCCACAAATGTTGGGTTTTCCCCCTGGTTTTTGTTTAAGGCAACCCCAACTAAAACATGTACACTCAAATCCATGACCCCTGCTGGAGCCCGGTGGCAAAATGGCTTCTAGGCGGCCATGTGATATGGGGAATCCGCGAACAACACGCGACAAGAGCAGGCCTCCACCAGTTGGGATGGATCAAACCCCACGAATACGGGAATACACAAGTCTCCACAAGATGTGGGGCGGACCTGACTCCGTCGATAGAAGCCTTGACATCTGTCCCAAAACTGTATGTGGCTGATGACTAGACTATCCCTACCAACCCCAACTACAGGGGAGTTTTGACCGTGGCCTATCAAATTCTATCAATCTGATCAAGAGCCGCAGACTTGCCCACCAAAAGGATGCCTAACTTAGTGAACACTGAGTTTGAGGTAATAACGCGCTGTGCCGGATCTCCCTGCGAAAACATCCCTCCTTGCCGCATCTTCGGGAGCAACGCTGGCCAAAGGGTGACACTGAGAAAACCAAGGAGCAGATGCCAACAATGTGTGTGTGTGCTCCTTACATTGATGTACAAAAAAAAAAAAAAAAAAAAAAAAAAAAACTGAGATAAGGATTCCCAACTAAAGGACCTACATCACAGGGTTTTGTGGGTTTCTACTCCCGCATCGGTGAGCTCGACGTAGACTAGGCAGCCTTATCCCATGACCCCAGCCTTTCCGTCGAAGAAGACATAGGACGTCACGATCACATGGCTGGCACCTCAGGGTCCGCCAAATCAATGTTAAGGTTGTCTCAGCCATGAACTTGGTAATCCCTAGGTTCATTCCCAAACCCTGGGTCATTCCCTACAGAGCACCAGCAAGCAAAGTCCCAAATTCACCTATTCAAATAGACTGCCCGTTGCCCAGTGATCCGGTTAGAAAAAGGAAACCCGTTTTCAGTGGGGACTAACAAAGGGATCTACCATGTTGAATCCACCGAACCACAGGAGAAAGCAAAAGGAAACCGCCCCCCTCATTTTGCGGATTTTCTGTTTGTTGATACCTTTGAAGTTCTTAGGGAAGCAAAGGAAATCCAAACAGAAAAGGAATTAGGAACACTGGGGAGGCAGGGTATCCCCGTCTTTTGGGTTGACGTTTCAGTATCCCCTGTCGAATTCATTGTGGACAGTTGGGGGGTGACAATCCCGTAAACGCCGCCACGGCGCCTGCTTCGAGGTATTCTAGCGCATTGTCAACGGTGACGCCACCACCCACCTGAAATCAAGACTCGGTCAACGAGAGACTAAGATAGTTTCCACTACCCCATTTGTTTATCATGTGTCCCTTTCCACAAATAGATGGAGTTTCCCCATTTAGAAACAGACATTAAGGTGCCCACACACCACTTCCAGTTGAAAACGAGAACTCTCCCTGTCTCTGTCGCCCGAGGTGCCCTTTTGGACAGTTCCAAAGGGACATGATTGGAACCAAACTGAATCCAGTCATCCATTTGTAACCCACACCTGGAAGCACCTGCCATCAACTGCATCACAATAGAAACATGCACTTACAGTGAGGTCGTCATTGATTCGGGACAACTGTCATGTCATACATCCAGCAACCTTGTTTCGTCCATCATGCCTTCATGACGAACCTGGTAAGTAGCCCTGTAATGCCCCGTATCTTTAGCCTGAACACTTTGAAGCGGGGTCGCTATGTCACAGTTCTGCTGAATCATGGGTGATCCAAAGCAATGAGCTGCAGAGTGGGCATGTAAAGTGAACAGGCAGAGCAAGCAACGCGATGCAAACTTGGCAGAACTCGGTGCAAAAAACAACATTTGACCAATGGGGAACTCATGGCAGATACTATGGCTTGTTCATATGCATGGAAAACTCACAGTTGCTCGTTTGTTCCTGGTAAATAGGACACCAGTTGCTCAATTGCTCACGCGAACCGGCCAAAAATGACAAACCAAACGTGACCCGTTCGCTGTTGATTTGGCCCTAGGATCAGCACTCAATCATTTCAGTTGCTTCCGAACCTGGGGACATATGATTAACATGCCATGTCCTGCGAGTCTCAAATTTGCTCACACCCACCCAGCCAAATGAGAACCACTCAACAAACCATCAACATAACATGTCCTGTGAGCTGTGTCAACTCGTTGCCCAAAGTATCCAACCGGACGCTTGGCCGTCTGGGACCCTTGCCTGAAGCCCTCCAGGATAGGCCTTCACAGCCTCCAGGGCCTGCCATAAATCCGCCGGGGTGTGCGCTTCACCACATGCTTACAGAAACCCAACACCATCCTAGTCTTGGCAACCAAAATGCAGAACACAACACAAACTGGGCCTAGTCTTGACCTTGGGTGAGATCGTCTTAAGCCCCTCATGGCCCAAAACCCCGCGGCTCGGCCAAGCCATGGCAAAGCCCACGGTGGCCCGGTTCTCCGGGGTGGCGCCCAGCATGATCGCGTGGCCGCCGGCTGCGCGAGTGACGGGTGACGCGGAGAAGTGCTGAGATTCCAGGAGCTCCATGAATGCGCGCATATATCACATATATATATATATATGGTGGTTGTTCTAAATTCCTTTGTCTCGAAACGGCCGTTCTTCGCGAATAAAAAAGTTACTTTCGCGAATCTTTCGCGGATTCATCGCCGTGCACTTTTCATTGCTCAAGTCGGGAAGTCGTAGCTTTTAAGTACCGGTTTAGTACGCGAAATAAAGTCGCAACTTTTCACCACAAGGGTAGTACATGACATGCACTTCCGCGACTCCAGCTGGAGATTCGCAACTTTTCAGCACCAGTACACGAAATGCACTTCCGCAGTTCCAGCACGAAAGCCGCGCAGCCCCAGCTTGAAGTTGCAAATTTTCAGTACCAAGCTAGCACTCTGACTAGCGCGGCGCTCAGAAAATACCCCCCTTGCAATCGAAGCCTGCGCTTTCGCGCGGGCTTTCGCGGATCTTTCGCGGAACTTTCGCGAAACATCACTCACGTTTCTAAAGCCACCGACTAACACCCGCACACCTGGAGCACTAACCAGCGAAGCAGGGTATAAAACTGTAGCGTCACCAGGCTTTATCAGGGGACAAACAACAAAAAGTTATAATCAGCATAGAAGGAAGATTCAGCAGACAATATGAGTGTTTTCACATAGTACTGATTTGCAAGATGCAGCTACGCAAAACTTTCGCGAACAAAAAAGTTACTTTCGCAACTCCATCGCGAATCTTTCGCGGAGCTACCTCAACCAACACCGATGGTCACCGAATACTAAACTCCTTACAAGGACCTTTAGAACGACTCCCATATATATTATTTGTATGTGGGTGGGGGTCAAAATTAAATCACCAGGGGACGGCAGATTTTAGTCCATGTGTCCGTTTGCCAGGGTTCCATTTTGGGTACCTATTTTTGACTCACAGCCATATGCTTGTGGCCCTTTCAGCCTAAAAGCGGCTAGTTTCCACCCATCTGTGTGGCAATAGTGGATGGTTAACTACCGCATTCAACCAAACCATTCGGACAGGAATCTCCTCTTGGGTAACCCCCTTTTCTTTTGGGTTTTCTGCTTTTGTGTCTCCAAGTGAGTAGACATAAAAATCGAAACAACCAACTGGGCGGATCCTGAATCCTAAGCCGTAACTGGACACCAGTACAGGTGGAACCACTACTGCATCATCTGGCAACAATCTTTACGGATTGGTTTGAACGAGCCACATCGGACAGAGACCTTCGTGAATGTCCTCCGAGAGTGTTATGGAAGTGAGGTTGAACGTGCATCCTTGTGTCTTGTTCCAAGTTTGATGCAGAAGCTTGATGTGAGCCACTCATTCCCCAGTTCAAAGCTTCTGCGGCTTCCGGTTGAGGGCAAAAGGCTGGCAGGGGGTGGAAGCACCCAATGATCAATCCACCAACCCAACGATCAATCCCCCAACCGAGCATGGCACACAGTGCTGAACGTGCAGCGGCATGATCCACTGCCAAATCTGCTTGCTCGAAAAGGTCGTGATACAACATGACCGAGCTTGTCTCAAATACCCCCCCCCTCCTCAGAATGACTGGTTGCCTCTTAGTCTCCAGGCAAAACCAAGAAAAGAAGGACTTTCCCTGAGCGAAGAAAGACCCATCTATTTTCCAAGGGGCCCAAGAAGCAAGACCATTCGAGCCTAGGCCGTCCTTCTTGTAGAGCTCGGCGAAGTAACTCGAGGGCCTTGCTCTGAGGAAAAACAGACAGCAACATTCAAATGGGGGGGGGTCAAAAAGATGGCCTCTTGTCGTATCTTGGTGCCGCCTTTTAAGGTTGTGGATACCAAAACGCACCCCTGCTTTTGACAAACGCACAAATGTCTAGGGGTAACTTGCAGCCATTCTGACTCTGGGATCCGGATCTTTCCAGGGAAAAGGGCACATTGTTGACAAGAATTTGGAATCAACCCTACTAGTACAAGTTAAAAGACTGCGACAATGAAACAGCAATGTCGCGCAGGGTCCTCGGAATGAAATAATAGCCATTGGACGCTGGACATAAACACATCCTGCAAATTGCAACACAACCAAATCATTGAAAGACTTTGTGACATTGGCACACACCATGTTGAAAGGACATTTATCGCACAAAAGGCTGAAGGTATTGAGTTGGTCTCCTGCCATTGTTTTTCTTGAAGGGACACATCATGCACAATCACCATCTCGCAGGTCCCCATATGCAAGACACACCGAGGAGATGCCTGCATGTTCCACAAAAAACACCTAGGAATCCGCGCTGGGAGGCCGCGAAGTTGGTCACCGGAGCATCTGTCTCCTCCGACAAAGTGCCGCCAACGATCTGCTTCACCTGCCCATGCTGGGGATAGGTAGGAAGGCCTCATACAAGAGGTGTGTTCCTGATGGGCGAGGTTCACTTTGTTTTACCTTTTACATGCATTTTTTCCTGGCCACACTGTCCTGTAGAGTATTGGCCCTTCTACCATTGGGGGTTATTGACTAGGGAGCAACCCTACACTCACAACCCAAAGCGCTGCACACAACGCCTGAAATTAAGGTGACTATAAATGTGATGCTACACAAATGATTGTTCTTGGCGAAAAACCGTTTATTGGGGCCCGGTCCCTGATTTTAAGCCCAGGAGTCAAGCGACAGGCTGTGGCCTGACCGGCGTGGATGTCGATACATGGCCTTAGACGAAATCTTGCAGTTGGATCGTTTCTGGCGGGTCGTCCTTCATAGAAACTAGCTCCGGGAAATCTACAGAGAATTGCGCAAGCGCCAACCATCGCCAACCCGACAAAGGAGTTCTGGTAGAATTTTCTGTGCCTGCTTTTTTGGGGGCATGTTCCGGAACTGTAACCCATGCCATATCACCGGCATGGCCCAACACGGCCATTGTCGAAGCTTCCTTCCCGTAGCGGCGGGCTCCGCAACCGCGATTCAACTCGGCCAAGGCGCTGGCCGGAACTTCATCCTTGGAGGCGCCTCAGAGCAGGCGGTATGTCTTTTGTTCAGGGTGCCCTTTCAGGGTTTGGAAGTTTCAAGGGAAGCCAAAACGAAAGCCACCCCCTCTCTCGACACATACCCAATGTGGAGCGAGGGTAAAGCCGGACACCATGGTGGAGTTCGGGAAACAAAGTAGAGAACAAACTCAAGGTCCATGAGATCTCATGGCCTTTGTTCACAAGCCCAAAAGGCTCAAAGAACAATTCCGAGAACCTGTCGATCTAGGGTTGGTGATGTTATTTTCTGCGGCAGGGGTCGGCAGCTCTTGTTTTGTGCCTGAGGTCGTTCTGCGAGGAGCTTCTTCGTCCTGGGCTCTGTGAAGCAAGTGCTTTGCTTGCTTACTATATTTCTCTGCCCCTTCTTCGGACGTGGGCAAACATCTCAGTGCCCTGGCTTTTGTGAGACAAATACAGTGCCTGATGCAATGGCCACAATGACCACGGACCTGCTAGACATGCTAGTTATTGTGTGGAAGTTCTGCAGGGTGTTGTTACCAGCCAACTCTGCTGTTCCAAAAGTATCGGAGTTCTGGAAAATTGGCTTGGCGCTTCCCAGGTATGGTGGGTGTCCCCTTGTTTTCGAATGAGGAATGGTCATCCCGAATAGCGCCATGGCCCATAGTTCCACATCAAAAGCCGGAATATCGAGTCCAAGTTCAATGTCACGTTGATCAAGCTTCAAGGCTCTTGAAAAGATATCTGTGACATTCTGGGACCCTGTCACCGAGGGCCAGACTCCTAAGGATGGCTCCGAGTGCAATGGCTGAGCCAAAATTGGTCCCAGGCGTCGGCAAGCGAAAAGCATGCAGCAATCCGAGGTGCCTAATTTCAATATACACATTGTCCGCGACACATATTTGAACGCGGGAATGTTGGCAGCATCAGCATCATCAGCAGCAGCAGCGGCAGCAAAAAAGTGCAGCGTCTTACATCCACTTTCCGAATCCAACAATGTCGATATGTTGTTGTCACTCCCGGCACATAGAATGTCATAGCGTCTTGTTCAAGAAAGCCTTGATACCAAGCTGATGTCCTTGTTGTTTGTGGGTCAAGGCAACTCCTTCAGGAGCTGCTTGCCTTGTTTGAGGGGTGACACAAACTAAGCAAACGGTGTCGCTGTCGATAACCAGGCCCTCCGAAAAGCCGTGGCTTGGGGCTTCCGCTTTCTTCGCCCTGAACCGCCAGCTGTCACCGTGAGAACCAACTCCTCATTCCCAGGCCTAAAACCATTCAAATGGCTTTCAGGAGACACACACACACACAATGTGTCTTAAACTAGGGGGCCCACCCCAAAATGTGTTTTCCCTTCAGCTTCCCTTTAGTTTCCACACCGTGCCCGTGTGCCCGTTAAAAGGGACACACAGCTCAGCCTCGAGCTCAAGGCTCCCCCAGCCTGTCCGAAGCGCTCCATGAGCACCGAGGCGTCGAAAGTCTCCCGCTCGCTCCGCTCCTCGAAACGCGACCGGGCGTACCTCGGTGCGAAACGAGACGCGATCCGTGCGATATATCGAGGGAATGTGACGTTGAATGAACCCGGGCTTTAAGGTGCCCTTCTTGTTTTTTTTCCACCAGTTGGATGATTTCTTTTAGGGTCAGTCCAACTAGTCATTCCCTGCTGAGCACCAGCACGAAAAAAAGGAAACAATGAACAAAAACCCCAAAACAGCAGGCAAGGCCATTTTGGTTGACAGGTAGCCCCACAAAACACTGGGGATTGTAATCCGAGAGAACATCTTGGGGAGATGTAACGATCCCCTTGCAGCGGGCGGCTTGCAAATGGGCACTCGAAGCAGTGTATGCGTGCTTTGTTGAGGGCTCCTTTTTGGGGTTGTGCTTAAGGAAAACCCAAGGCAAAACCACTCACCATTTTGCGAGCTCCCCAGTTTCAAACAACACCCACAGGCACAAATTAAGGACAAACGGATACCGCATGAGAGGCTGTCATTCTATTCCCTCGCATGCAACACATGCCACCGGGTCATCTTTGCACTAAAACTAAGTCTCGTTACATGCTCCTTGCGACAACTCCAGCAACTAAAACAATCATGGAACCAGAAGTATCTCCCTTTTGAGGGCACTTCCCTTCAGGTTCCGTATTGGTCTTGGACTCACAAACCAGCCCTAGAGCCAAGAGACATTACAACCCCCGCCTCCCCCTTCCCAAACAAAAACACAATGGCAAACAAACACGTTTGCTCTGGGACAGCGCTCTGGTTCAACCGAGGTCTGAGCTTTGTGTTCATCAGGGTGGCATGAAGCTTCACCTGGCTCCCAATGCCAAGCCATGATGACTCGTCCTGCATTATGTTTTCTCATGTGATCGTGGCCTGTGTATATATGGGCGTATCTTTTGAAGCCGCCCTTTAACAATCGGTGGTCAAAGAAGGGTTGATTCCATGCTCGCTCATCTCAACCATCGTTCTCTTCAAAATTGCACGGCGCCAGCCTTTTTGGATCTCCATCGATTCTATTGTATTGACGCAACATCCGTTCCGGGAGTATATTTGGATAGCAACGTTCTTCAGGTGCGTTCGATTTTGTTTCCGACCTGAAACCGCTCCTAAGCCCACCTAAACCCAGCCTTAGCCCACCCTAACCACCCCTAAACAAACCCTGAACCTGAACAATCCTTAAACCAACTCTCAAACCAACCCAAAACCAGCCTCAGCCAAAAACAAAGTCGAAACCAACAACCTGGTGATGCGGTTGAAGAAAGATGCAAGTGGAGCGGACTCAGAGTGGACCCCTCGCGCGAGCGTCTCCGCCTCTGCATGCTGGCCATCCGAAGAGAGGAGCCGCTGTGACATGAGGCTCTGCGAGGAGACCAGGTTGCGAGCCTTCGCGCAGCTCCAAAACCCACCCCACCTGCTTCAGGGGATCCCGGAACCGGATTGGTGATTTGCATGGCTCCCAAGATTTTCCAAGGGTTCCTTTTAGTACGCGCCCTAAACGCTGATCAGCACATCAAGTGCCGATTGTTCAAACAGAAAGGGTCCCGATGTTGGCCCCCGGTGCCCTTTGATCCCTTGCATCGTGGAGGCCATAAAGAGGTTACCAGCAGAGCCATCTCCTTGCTTCATTTTAAGCTTCAGGAAACGTGGTGAAATCGCTTTACCCCGCGAGTGAGCTCGCCAGAATTTTGGCGTTCTACGTAGGCCTGGAAGAGCTGGAACATGTTGTCCGACAGCGCGTTCATGCCTTGCGCTTGCCCAACTGGCACAACGGCATCTATGGGGCTTTGAACGCTGCAACACATCAGGAGGCGATGACCAATTCGCCTCTCATCAAACACCTACAGCCCGCATCCTGATCAATGCGCTTGATGTGGCACCCACACCAAACAACTCCAGCAGAGCGACAAGCATAAGAAGCAACAAAGAGGCGTTGTGAGCATAAATGCAACGCGAATGCAGCCCAGGTGCGATTTTGCAGTGCGCTGGATCGATCCGTTGTAAAGACCACGCCAACCTCACAAGATCTTGGAGGCGCTGGAGATACCAAAGTGGTATGATATCCCAAAGTGGGCGCATCCAAAAGGATATTCAGCTGATCAACACATGATGGGTATACTTATTATTTGGAGACCCTTTGGTGGACGTCATTTATTTAAGTGGTGGGATTGTTATGTCCACCCGCTTGAAAGGTATTCTAAGTCCAAGCCTAACCATAAAGGTAACATCGCCCCATGGGAGTCGAAATCGACACTTGGTACTGCAGGAGTCCATCTGATATCCGCACCTCCAGGTTTATGAGACTTTGGGGTCCATGTTGAGCTTGTGCGCCAAAAGATGGAAGCCCAAAAGTGCTTTCTTTCGGTTTCCTGTACAACCACCCAATATATATACAGGGTTCCCTTACAAAAAATACACATCCATGTTGAGTCTCGGCGAAGCTTGCAGCGCACTCCGCACTCCGGCTCTGCTGGGCCCCGAACGCTGGTGGGGTCATCGGTCATGATGTGCAAGCCCTGCACGTGTTTGTCTTCTGAGAGTATCCGTTTGGATTTGTTTCAAATCAAACAACAAGTACAAAGCCGCCAATTTTATAACGCAACACTCGTAGGGGAGTGCTTAAGTTTGCACATCCCACATAGTAACAAGCAAGCAAACGGCTCGTGGCGAGCGACGCTGCAAAATCTAGCAAGGCGCAAGCAAGCGCTAAAACGAACATGGCCTAAAAGTGCTTTGTCTGGGATAGGTCCAGTGGTCACAAGCGTCTCCAGTGGTAAACTCATGGCCAGTATCAACCAACACCATCCTCATCACCATCAAACGTCGTTTGTCCCCACCACCATGACAAGGCATTGTCAGTGTCCCTCTCGCCATCTTCGCTCAGGCCACTGTCAGAACTGGCACTTCATAACACAATAGTAACCGGCATCATCGGCAGCAACAATAAGAGCAGCAACTGGCAGCGACCTGGTTGACAAACCAACCTCATGTCAGTATTATTCTTGCATCATGAAAGCTGCGCATCTCTTTTATCCCTGGCCTTGAGGAACATCTGCAGCTTAAGTGTGACGGAACATCTGCAGCTTTCCAGCTAAAACGAACAACTTTCCCGAAACCACAACCCTTGGGAAAACGCTATATAACCAATCTACTGGTTAAAAGTGGTGAAATACCTCCTTGACCATGGTGTTGGGGTCTCAAACCCTCCTGGAGGAAGGGACACCACCTAAGTGGGTCATGTTCCCTCATGTTCCTTTGCTTAAAGCACGACCCATTTCCCACATCTGGTATTGGGGTCAAATACTGCATTTTCGGGGCGGGTAGCGGCTTGGGGGCACCTGCCCCGTTGTGAACACTGGCCCAAGGAGCTTCCCTGCTAGGGCGTACACGGTGCAAGAGCGACCGTTTCATCAGATCCCCAAGCATCTCTCATCCGCCTTCATGTGGGCCAGCACTGGTCTGCCGTAGTCCGAGCTTGCCGCCAGGCCTGCCAAAGGGACGCCCGATGAGGCCGTGAGACGGAGGTCGGACCACCAATGGACTCTGTTTTCAGTTCTGTTTCATGCGAAAAGCACAGGGGCGGCCTCAAAAAATGCAAAGCCATGTTTGGAGTCTTCGGAGCGAAATTTCAGAGCAGATTACATAGTCGCATTTCCCAGCACACGACCTCTATCGCGCACGAACGGCAACAGGCCAGGCTCGCGGGCAGACAAATCCTTCAGCGCCTGCCATTGCCACAGTGTTGTTTGAGAACCCACTGGAGGTTCTCAAAATAAAGAGGCCCTTTTTGGTGGCTCAAGGAAGCCCAAATGAAGCAGCACATTTTTGTTTTGGGGGACGGCCGGTTTTGAGTTCAGGGTCCCCGAAAAATGGTCCAACTCAATGATGTATGATTCCGCGCACCCGGGAGCGACATACACCAAGCTTCCACGAATAGGAGTTTTTAGGTTCCTGGGTATGCTAAAATGTTGCTTGGTGAGGTATGGAGGTGGAGGTATAGCAAGAGGAATACATTACCCTTCCACGAAGGACACCTAGGGAAAATAGTCGCCGAACGTCCACTGAGGCTCCATGTCAACTTGCGGGTACTCAGTAGGGAACGTGGGAATGAACCCAAGGATTCCCTTGAAGGCACCAGTTGGATGGTTGATATGGGTCATTCCCTCATTCCCTATCGAGCACCAGCAAGTCAATTGCTGCTCACCGTAAGATAGTCCAAACACCGCCATCCCGCATTGCACTGCTTTCCTCCGGGACTGGGTCAAGTGAGCCACATAACTGTAAACCAACAGACAAACAGACAGACAGACAGACAGGCAGACAAACAGACAGACAAACAAGCAAACAAACAAACAAACGAAAACCAACCGACCCACCAACCAACCAACAAACGAACCAACGAAAGAACGAACCAACCAAGGCATCTTTGCGATGACTACGTAGGTCGCAGTTGCATCAAGCACTTCCCCAGTACTGCGTGGGGCAACAGCTTCTCTAAAACCGAAGGAACGGGGTGGTTGGACTGGGGCACTTGGGTTTGCCTCAAAGGGAACCATCCCCAAGCTGGTGGTTTACCAGTCGCTTCCGTTCAGGCCAACTCCTTGGAAACAAGTTCCAAGTCCAGAGCTCACTGGATTTCCCCGTCAAAAGTTGCAATCTGCTGGTGTTCATTGAAACGGCCAATGTTTTGCAGCTTCCAGAAGGGGAAATGGAGAAACCCCCCGAAGTGCCGTGCCAAACGTCGGGTCAGGAAAGATCAAAGGGCATCATTCGTCTCTCTTTGGCTTTGCCTTTGGGCACCCAGCTCCAAAAACGAACCACACTGATATGGCTCAATATGGCCGTGGCTCAAAAAACCGGCACCAAAATGGAAGCCTGGTAAGTGGCAACATGGACCAAAACCTGCGTAACCCTGACTCCTCAATTTGGAGCCACACCCATATGGCTCAATGCCTGCGGCATCCGGCATCCGGCATCCGCCTCCTTCATCTCATCCACTTGTGCGTGCGAGTGGAGCTTCAGCATACACAAGGTGAAGTGCATACGCCTACGGCCCGGCCGAAGCAAGCTACATCAGGTGGAATCCACTCATCTAAACTAGATTGACACGTGAGGTGTGCGATGGTCTGCGTGAACCCCCCTACCAAAAAAAAAACAAGACTCGTAGCAAATAGGCAACAAATTGCTAGGCTTGGGTTGCCGGTTTGGGACCAGGACCCCTTTGAGCCTGTACTAGAGAGGGTTCCAGCAAACCTCTGGTGTTGTTTTTGCAAACGGGAAATGGGAAAGGGCTCAAAATATTGGGTACCACTGGTCTGAAGGCCCCAAAACCTGCAGTGCATGCTCTTCACTTGGTGCCGGCAAAACCACGCAACGACTCCCTTCGGTTTGCTTTCACCCGACTTGTCACTCTCGAGGACCAGAGGTCCAAACCTCCACGGTTCTCAGCAGGGAATGAGGGAATGATCCCCATAAACCATGTCCCACGGTCACTTTTCTCACCGGAAAGAAAGCCACGCAGTTTAGCAGCTTCCCTATTTTTACACATACCCAAAATGCCCGCCTAGACGGCATAAAGATTGAGGCATCGATGCCTGCGAAGCGTTGGAGGACCACATCCTGCAGCTCAATGCAAGTAGCATGGACCTGAACAAGGCTATGTTGACACTATGTATCTTCTGACTGCCACAAACTGCAACCCTGGCCTCAAGACGGGTTGACCACCCCACCCCACTCCCAAGGTAAAATGGGGGTTACACTCCTGTACAGGGTAGTGGTGGTATACCCCCAATTTCCTTGAGGTAGCGGTTCGGGCGAGTGCACACCACCCCAAACTGACACACTTGGGTATGTCTCAAAACACACGGGCCCCAAAACAGGGTGGCTTTAAGTATGGCTCTTTGTTCAACAGGGATCTTTGCATTATACACCTGAACATTGCCTTGCAAATGGTGGTTTCCATTTATTTTGGTGGAAAAAGCCATGATTCAAATGGTTGCAACATGTAGCTTTTAAGGAGCCCTGCCCAAAAAAGGGTGGTTTTAAGTATGGCTCTTTGTTCAAGGTGGGTGGAACCACCACTTCGCATTTCGCACGCGAAATGCGACTCGCCCGACGCCCGACATCTCCTCTCGGAACTGGTCCACCAGCTGCCGGAACTTGTCATCATGCGCCAACGGCACCGAGATGAAGTGGGTGTACTGTGCACAAGTAGAGATGGGTGCCCCTTTTTGGGATGGTTTAAAGGGCAACCATGGCAACCAAAGAGAAATAACAAAGATAATAATAAACAAGAAAACAATGAAACAAAATCTCGGGCATCTTGACACATGCCCAGGCAGCACAAGGTTCCCTACATTTCCAACCTAAAACATGACCCCCTACCAAGGGAAAAGTTGATGATTGAAACCACCAGCACGGGCAACATAAACCCTGCAGTTGAAACCCAACGCTTCCACTCCTCACAAAAAAGAGGGTAGACGCATTACTTTTTTTTGTCGTGAGTATGCATACGGTCTGTATACAGATCCGTGTGTACATGGAGGTGGTTCAGATAAAGAAATGTGCCCCGGAAACCCGGAGACTTCTCTTTCGCCGGCCTTCCGCGGTTTTTTCCGGGGCCCTCGGAGTTCCTTTTGCAGTGCCAGATCAGTCTTGAAAGCGCGGCTTCCAGGAACTAGGCGTTTTTTTTCCTACTCTGCTTCTTGAGAAGCAGCTGAGCCGCTTGGAACATCGCTTTCGTTCTGGTCGTCGCATTGCTAGGCCCCACTTTGGGACCTCGCCCTTTCACGTTCCTTTTGCGTTGCTTTCGCAGTCGTTTCGCGGATTTAGTCGGTGGAACTCAGATTTTGTCGGTGCAATTCCGCGGAAGAATGCTATCAGACACGCTTACCACGAACACCAACACAGCCCAAGACCATACATTTTGCCGACCTTTTGCGATGCAGGGTGTTCCTTTCGTAGACCCTTCAGGACCGCCCTTACATAATAGGTGCTGCATAAAACCAAGGTATTTGATGCCAGCAATCTCCCGCCCAAAAAACATCCCGGACCTGTGACTTCAGTCACTTCTAAGAAGGCTTCCACAATCGCCACACCACTGTCACAAGGCGCAATACAACCAATCTTGGAGCTTGACAGGGAGCCATCCCTAGAATTCATCTCTGGGAGCTCCTCCAGCTTGGCTTCTTCCTTCTCACACAGGAGCTCGATAAGAGCCTGCGGTTCACTTGATCGGTCAGGCATGTGCATTGCAGAAAAAACCATCCAAGACTTTTATGACTGTGGAAGGGATTTCCTTGGTATGACAGAAACTTGCCCCTGTCGATCGCCGGAATCCTGCACCAGTTGTCATGGATCAAACCCTACGAATACTGGGACAAACCAGCTGCCAAGTTGTGCGAAGCGGAAATTGGCCATCAAGCAGGCCTGTGCAGCTCCCCTTTCAGAAATACACCACAAGACTGGCCACTTTTGTTTGCTTGATCCGAACAATCAAGCGACAACTAGTGATCTGTCTCTAAACCTGAAATGCCCAATAGTGGGTGGCTTCCCTCTGGTCTGTCGTTCAAACACTCCCCAAAAGCCAACCCCCAAAAATGCTGTACAGTCAACAGAGACATTGACACAAACACCAAAAGGCTAAAGTACCTTCAGACCCGAAATCAAACCCCCTCAGCCTTGCAGCTGTAGATCTGCTGCTTCTGACGCGCCCTGAGGTAGACGCAGTCCTCCAGCTCCTCGCAACAAATGCTCGCGGATCGCACCGAAAATCTGATGGAGGCCTTGTGCCCCTATATCTGCATTCTGTGTTGGTTGAAGCATCAACTTTTGCGCCAGTTTTAGGGTGACTGCCTTTGTGTGGGGTGATGTTGAAAGAAGACATGTTGGGAACTCCAGATTTTGCCGCAACAAATTGATAAAATGACATGAGGTATTCAACCGGCATGTAGTAGGGACGATAGAGGAAATGTCCGTTTGGAGTGGAGGCCACATCAAGTCGCTCGTGTGGCTCCGATTTGACTTCCAGCCGCTGTGCGAGCCCCTTTCCAGCCTCCCGCTTGGGAACGACGATCCTGCAGCCGGACCTGATGGTGTGCGTGTTGTGTAACACTGATTGCTTTGCTGCCATCTTTCAGAATGCGCTGGAAGAATGTGACAGAACAGCATCCGGCACAAACAACCTTGAGCCAACTGTACACTCACTTCAACCTCCATCTTGCAGCAGAACCTACAAGCAAGGAGCGAACACATTGCAAGGGCTGTTCCCGAACCCAAATGCCCTCGCGGTGTATGCATGATACTAAGGCGTCAGCTCCATTTCCAGCTTCTGCTTGTTCCTGGCCTGCACACAACGCGCTGAACTCGTCAACCAAGGGTTGGGCCAGCCTCCTTAAGCATGCGAAGCCCAGTATTTCTTCAGCCACTTTCCCTTCAAAGGGGACCAGCAGGGCTGCCTATATTTCTCTTGTGAAGATTACCCTGCCAAGAGGAAACGCACTGCAAGTTAGCCCAACAAGTGACGCTTCAAACCACCAAAAGGGGAAATGTGGGGAAGGGCCGGTGGTTTCAACAAATGGGTGTCTGTGTTTGTGAGTTGTTTGGTTTGAAGGGAAGCCAACGACACATCACCCAGCATCCCCTTTTGACACATATCACATGCAATTCACATATACCCAAATGAGTAGAGGTGTTTATCCCCTACTCAAATGAGTAGTGCAATTATCATACCTTTCCAATAATAATAAAAAGAGACTAATTTCCGTACCTTTACATATGGGTGTGGGTCAGAAATAGGTACCCAAAATGGAGCCCTGGTAAATGGAAACACGGACTACAACCTGCGGTCCCCTGGTGTAATTTGACCATACCCATATGTAATGGAGAAGCCAAAAAAAACGCTACTCAACTGTTGCCACGCCCGGACCTCACAACTTCTGCCCAGCGGCGCGCGAGCCCACGATAAACTTGTGGAAGATCGCGGGCATCTCCATGCGGAAGACCCACTCGTCCCCCTGACGTCAGCTTTTCGTCTGCCCTAATCAAAAAACAACAAAGTTTTTGAGGAGACCCCATGTAGGAACTTGGCCTCTCATGCAAACTGTTTGCGTTTGAGCACGGAGCTATGTTTCGACAGTCAACCCGATTGAATATCTGCCACCTGAGATGAGGGAAGAACCCCAGACTTATCCACTGCAGGCGTGGACCAACGAGTACAAGCCTGTGGCAGCTCAGCTTCTTCCCAAAATTTCACGGTACTCGTTGGTTACAACGAATTGTCGCCGCAGCAATTGCATGCTAATGCAAATGTTCGTGCAAAAAAACATGTGAGGGTCACTTGTCCCATGCCTATGATGGTTCATCACAAGTAATTCATCACGTTAGGCTACATGAGATGAACGCCGCAGCAATTGCATGCTAATGCAAATGTTCGTGCAAAAAAACATGTGAGGGTCACTTGTCCCATTCCTATCATGGTTCATCACAAGTAATTCATCACGTTAGGCTACATGAGATGAACACACACACACACAAACAAGCAAAACATAAGCACGCAAAGATATTCCAGTGCGTCGTCGCCATCCACGTGTACCGGCTTCTTCTCATGCTCGGGCAGGTTTGAGTATTGTGATTCGAGAGAGCTTACACACTCAAAAGTGACTGCTGGCTTTGACTCTTGAACTAGACGCCAAACACGTTGCTTCACTCACGTACATCGGACGACCGCCCCCTCTCGTGAGCACGGCCAAGTCTGTCTCTGCGCCTTGCCGACAATTGCAGTAGGCCTTTACGTGGTGAAACACCAGAAGGCGAACAAACTATCTCAACCCGAAGGCGCAAAGCACGTTGCACCAGCGCCTCGTACAGCAACTGCTCATCCAACTCGCCCTCCTCCTCTGCTTCATCTTCTTCGAAATATCTTCGGTTCCTGGCATTCACATCCCGTACTCCTTACTTTTTCCTCTCAAATCACGTTCGTTGATGGCAGGCAGCTGCACCACCCTGTGAAACAGCGCAAGGGCATTGCTCCACGCGGTCTAACAATCCAATTAATCTTAGGGGACCCATTGAACGCTTCCAGTAAGTGGGTTCCAGCTTGCACCAAATGTATGCAGCATCCGAAAGGAACCCACTTGTTAGAAGCGGTTTAGCGTCACATAAATCTGGTCTGAAACCATGGCAGGGTCTCTCTTCGCACTTGAACTTAAGGTTCTCGTCCACGACCAGCTTCCTGATCAAGCTGAATTTGTCTCCAGAAACTCCCAAAATGGCTGGTTTCTCTTTGGTTCCCTGTGAGCAAGCCCAAAAAGGGGTGTCCTCAAAAAAATGACAAACCCAACTCAACCGCAAGCAAACAGGTATTCACAATGTGTCAACCTGAACTTGAAGTCCAAAGCATGTGGTTTCCTGTTGCAAGAAACTGTTCAGAATCTTGGGACCTCAAAGGCCTAGTCCAAGGTCCAACACGGTCCAACACCTTCCAATCAAGATCCTGACCCATCCCATGGCAGGGAACATTTTGCTCTTTTGAAGCAGCCGGCCAATCCAAAAGGGCTTTGCCTGGCGCAAATCAATTGCCAGCCTGTAGTACGAGTTGCCGATCCTCACCACCTCGAATTTGGGATCCTGGGCGGGAGTCGGCGGCCACCTCGGTTGACCCTAAACGAGTTCTAGCAAATCTCAAATCGATTCTAGGATACTACACACATGCTTGTCCTTTGGTGCAAGCTGGAAGGATCCCCTAACAAAGGCCGGGTGGGGGGGCACTTCCAGAAATGTTGGTTTCAAGATGCTCTTCCCTCAGGGGGTACAAAACAACCCCCCCCCCAAAAAAAAAACAGGGGCAGTCCCCAATTCCCAGGCCTCCAATTTCTGGGCAAGCGCCATGGTGAGAGAAATCGTTCACTCAGCCTTTCTTGTCGCTGCAACCCGTGGAAATCAAACAATCGGATGGGATGCTGTGGAATTCTGCAATGCAAGAATCATGCATGTGCCGCCATGCAACATGTCGACATGGATTTGACTGGTTTGGAGACTCGTGCGTCTTGTCTTGTGGTCCTAGAAGCTGCGGCACGTCCAGTCGCTCAAACTCTGGCAAGCAACCCCGTTCTGACGGCACCAACATCGGGCGCGCCGAATGTTGACCATCTAGAAGCCACAGGCTTCGGAGCCGATCCATCTGCCAGATTCCAAGGCCGGGGAAGCCATGAGTTGCTTCGAACATCAATGGGGATTGAAGTCTTCTACACTGGTTGGAGGGAGTTCTTTGGAAAAATGACGGCTCCGTTTTGCGCAACGGGCTGCATCCTTTTTGGCATAGCCGGCCGACTGTGCGCCAGTCTTGGCCGCGAGGTCCTGGGGTGGAGCAAAACGGGACGGACATTGGTGGTTCCCAGTCATAGGAGTGTTCTCAAAATGGTGAACCCCATTGCGGTTGGAATTTGAAACCAATTGGAAGCCCACCATTTTAGGGGAACCTCTATTTTAAGAAGCACCTACCGAGTTTCATCAATCCCAACTGCCCACGTCAGCCAGGTGGCAATGCTGTCCAGGACCGCCGGAGACGCGGCCTGAAAATGATCGTGTGTGCGTTGGTGCCGATCTCCTTTTGGGGACTACCCCTTTTGAGGTTTAATATATTGTCTGTTTTGGGTTTCATCCCTTTTTGCGGTTTGCCCCTGTTTCGGCCACTTTGCCGGCTCTCCCGTTGGAGAAACAAACACATATACATTTTTTTGGTGTCAAAGGTGAACACTTAGCCGGGCAATAACTTGAGTCAACACCTGGTTATACAGAAGTCCATGATTGGAAGAAGGCGACTGCTTAATTTCATCTACCAAGGTCTCACAATTTCCGGCACGCTTGCATGTGTAGGCACCAGGCGCAGGAACAAGGGGTGGCAAACGGTGTGCCATAGCAAGCAACTGCCCCATGAGCAAAACTCTGTGAACAGGTTCTGGCCACGATCAGCCGAGGACAACAAACTTAATTCGAGCATGGGGCGCGTAGCCTTTTGGGGGTGGTCATAAAAGCAAACTCAAGGGAAAACAACAGCCCCTAGTTTTGACAAGAATCCTGCGATTTGACAAATACCCATGTCCTGCCTGTGCGGAACCCTCAGCCCATTTGACCCCCTGACCACGCTTGATTTCATTGATCATGGCCCGTGGGCGTGTTTCCAAATTACGGCCTCTCGAATAAGGTTGGTTTGCAGGGTCCGCGTCTGGAGGGACACAAACTTAACAAAGCGTTGGTTTCCTTTTGGCTTCCCTTCAAAGCACCCAACATCCAAGGCACATAGCCCATCTCGCCTTGCCAGCTTTCAGCTCCTCCAGGTGGGTGCGTGCCTCGTCCCGCAGCGGTGCTGCATCCTCGGGAGATGGCGATGGTGCCCTTTGGTTTGGCCTTGAAACATCACCCCCAAGCGAAACTCACCTGTGGGCCAAACTGTTAATGTTTACATAGGCAAATGGGCCAACGGGAAGTTTTAAACAGGGAAGGGAACAAGTGGGATCCCTGTGGTTCTGGGCGTCCAACTGTTGCTCAACGTTGCAGCAGGTTCCAGTCCGACTTGCTTGCAGTTAGGAAATACCAAATTTATGCTCACGGAGAGAAAGCCAACGGAATTAGTCTGGGGGCCTGGACATGCGAAAACAGAACACATTCTCTGTTGGCTTCCCTTCCAAGTTTGAGCTTTTTAGCACCTGTGGTTTGGAGGTTTCTTGTTTCCGAGAATATGCAATCTCTTCAGCCTGGCAATTCGAACACACATCCCTGTTGTGGAAACTCAACTTTGTCGGTCATATAAAAACGGGTCATCCCCACTACTTTGTTTCTTTTCAGAAGGTCTCCTTGGTATTACAGAAGATGTGGTTCATTCGCCAGCGCAGATTCGCTTTCGCTGGTACGTGAAGCGAGCAAGAAGCTCGAACAACCCAGCAAACAGGCTGGAGCCGGCACGTTGCTTCTTTTGTCGGGCTAAAACATGTGTGCGCGTGGGCGATTTGGAGCTCGTCCCCATGTCCCTCCCAACCTGACCCTTGAACCTTACAATTGTCAGGATTTGGACACCCAAACTGGTTGGTGTCTGCTTGGTTTCCCCTGAAAACCAACGTGGTCGCTTCTCGGCTTTTGAGCCACCGAGGCTCCAGCCTGATCCGCGAGGAAAAAGCTCAACTCCTCGGCGCTTGAAGCTGAAGGTATCCGTTTGCCTGGGTCCCGTACAGCGAACCCTTGCAATGCCTTGGGGGAGTGGGAGGTTAGCTGCAAACCACCATTCAGATCCAGGTGGGTCATTTCAAGGATACGAGTTCAGAACTGAAATGCATGCTCTGAACAGAACATCAGCTGCGTTCCTCCGTCATCGCTGTGTGACCATCACTGTGTGACCTGGTGTTTGCCACATTGCTTGTGGCCAATCGTGATTCATACCCGTTCTCCAGCCTGCAGAATGTGCACTTGGAATCGCAAAGCCCACCTAGCTCGCGGACTTTGGAGAAGCCAGGAGACTCTGCACGAACTGCTACAATTAAGGCATCCCAAAGCAAAGGAACTCCACCAGGAGTGGGGCCATGGTATCCCCATTTAAGCTCGCTATGATTATTGCACATGTTCTTTTGTTTTAGAAAAAACTAAGTCATCCTGCTGTGGGAACCTGTGACTCACCATGCACGTTGCCCATGTCCTTCGATGTGCATGTTCCCTGCCACTACAATTTGCAATGTTGAACGACTTGGATCGACTGCCTTTTTGAGAGCCCAAATTTTCCAACCGCACCTGCTGTTTGACTCCCTACTTGGCTGAAGTCAGGCTGGTCATAAAAATAATCTCACCGCGCCTGGCGGCGGCCGGCTCGGAGCGCTGCAGCCTTGTTGCGGAGCTGCGCTTGCTTTACAGCACACATTCTACGATCAAGCTTACACAAGCTTCGTCTGCCTGAGAAAGGCACTGTGTCTAGTGTGTGTTCAAAGCAATGCAATGCCTTTTCAACGCACTTCACCTTTAGCAATTCCTTTGCAAAACACAAGTTGAATCCCAAGGGCGTGACGCTGTCGAGCATACTGGCACGCGCGCAAACCAGTTGCATTCTCTGGCCCAGACTGTTGCGCCCGATCTACCTGTCAGCCGCGCGCTATGCAAGAGGAGCCATGCCAGACAGTGCAACTTTGGGGCAGACGATGAAAGCCGAAAAAGGACAGGCAGGCAGGGGCAAAAAAGAACCGCAATGTGCACCAGGGTAAAAGTCGATGGCACGATTTTCCTTTTGCCCGCAAATAAAGAGGATCATAACACTAAAACATCAAAATAAACCCCAACGCTTTAAACTTTAGTTCAGGCGGCGCCAATTTCCACACAATTGCAAAGCCATGGTCGCACCGATTGCAAGCCAAATCTGTGCCTCGGAGTGCCACAGGCTGGCCACGTGGCTGCTGGATGCGGCCTGGACAAGATCCTTCCGTGTCTATGTTGCCTCGCTCGCGAACTGCCAAGCAAAACTGCGACATCCAAAGTCATCTCCCCAGTGAAAGCTGGAGGAGCGGTTTCAGACACACCTTGGCACCAAGGTCGCGAGATGCTCCGGCTGTTCAAGTCATTGGTCGGAATTGCTACGAATGTTGCTCCCGTTGAGAGATTTGCACATCTGTCAGCACATCTGGCTGTGTCCGAAATCTCTGCTGGTTCTGCAGTCAGCGAAGCACCAGATCCCATTTGGATGAGCCCAACTTCTCGAGTTCCAAGCCGGGTGTGGCCCATGCGACCAGCTCTCATGTGTCAAATTCAATATAAACAATACTCGTCAAGGTCATCATTCAGGCTTCCCCCGAGTCCAAATGCTCATTGACTTCCTCAAAGGCCCATCACAAGGCTTGATGTTAGCCAGTGAGTGTCGAACATGGTATCCGGCAAAACGGGAATGTGGCCCGAACCCCCGGCCTTGGTAAATCCGTCGATTTTCACCATGGCTTTCTATGACATGAACCTATTTGCTATGATGCCTCACTCGAATCGCACGGCGCAGCTCGCCTGCTCCAGAAGCAAAGCAAAGAGCTGCGCGCGAAAGGCCCAGGGAGCCTCGCAAATTGGCCGCCCAGAACCTACCGATATGGGATAAACCAGAACTGGTGCGAGGTGGATTTTGATCCGGTGTCCTTTCTGAAAAATGGATGGCGATAAAGAAGTTTGAATTCTATTATTGATGAGAACCAACCCGAAACCGGGTTGGAATCCATCTATGTGTAGCCGCACTGTCCTAAGAAGGGGCCGTTCTTTGCGCAGGGCCCAGAGCCCCTGAGCTTTGGATACCAACATAGTTTACGAAGGCCTGCATGCCCCTTCCACCGGGTCAAAGTCTTCAGGGGTGGGCGCTAGGAGCTGAAACAGGGACGCTTTTTGGGGGGTCGGTCCACCAATTTGTGAGGCTCCAACAAATAGACTTGGCTTGTCTCCAAACATATGGAAGCCCCAAAGTGGATGGCTTCCCCTTGGCTTCGCTTTGGGAGATGCCACCACCAACCCCGATTGACAGTGTGTCCCATTTAAACTCATGGCTCGAAGGACTGGTATTTTAGCCCTAGACAATTCCATGGAACCATGAAGCTGCCGCTTGGGAGGGTTCCAAACCACCAAAGCTCAATGACTCAAGGCAAAGCGAAGCCCATATTCAACGCAAACCAGGCCTCCACAAGGCTTGTGTTGGGGACGCCTCTGGAGCCTTGCTGAGGGGATCCCTGGATCCCGGTGGATGGAGAAAAAACCGCTTCGCTGGATGAAACCCTCTCAATACTGAGATTGACCGCCTACCAACTGGTGCAGGATTGCGGGTTTGTCTCAAAAACCTGGCCCCTGTTCCCTTTCAAAACCAGCCAAAACAGTCGTAAATACCATCAAGCAAATACAACATCATTTGTCCATCCGCCTCTAGGTGGGTTTCCGAAAACTTTCGACATAGCTCCACCTCCAGGTGGGCGAAGGTGCCCAGCAACTTGGCCGCCAGGTTCCACTCCTAACGCAAATGGCGTCCTGTTTTAAGGTTCGGTACGCTTCGACTGGAAAAGTGTGAAACAAGGAAACCAAAATGATAGCCACCAATCCAAAAAGTCCCATCTCCCATTTTTTGCTATGTTCCATAGACAACTACCTTCCCTACACTGAAAGCTGACTGTTATTTTGGGGGGCCTGACCATGTGTGACTAACATCGTAACAATCAACGAGTACAATGTTATACGTGCCCTTTGCCCACCTGCACTAGACTGTTGTTCACAAGTGGGTGTATCTTTTCTCGGTGTAGCCGTTCTGGGGCTGTTTTGAAGGGAGCCAAAAGGATAGCCACTATTTCGGGGGTCCCCTTATTTGGACAAGCCGATTCCTTTTTGACTCCTGACTGTCCTAACAGCCAGTTGCTCGAGCCAGCAAAACATATATCCAACTCATGTTTCATGGAAGTACTAATTACCCTTTTAGCACCAACACTTGTTTCGCAACACAACATGCCCACAAGACAAACAAGCCGCTAACCACTTTCGGACGTGGACGCCCATGAGTCCATCAGCATTGGTTCGGCAATGACAACAGTCACCTTCCCCGAGTGTACTGATGGAATTTCGTCCCTGACACAAATCCAGAACGGAGTGGCATGGGAGACCTGGGTCCGACCTCCACACTGGGTCCATTACACATCAAAGTGATCTCAAAATTGCAATCTAACTGATCTTGTTCGAGGGGTTTCCCAAGCCAAACCGCGCTTTGAGAAAACGTGCAGGTCACCCACTCTCAGGGAGTCCCAACAAACAAATCCGTTTAAAGGTGCAGGAAATTTAAGAGTGAAGGCTCTCACGCCTCTGAAAATGCGGGCACAACCTCGACTGGTAGAAGGGCTTCTAGCGCCGTGTGTTCCACCTCGGTTCCAGGTGCGACGCCGGTGGGTAGATTCGGAGTTCCAAATGGGGAGGAGGTCCCCCTCCTTTGTCCGCAAAGGGAAACGAGGAAGTTACTGAGGACGTTACCCGCCAATCCACGTTGAACGCACCAGGTCCCTTGAGGAAACTTACCTTCCATTGCCCGGTCATGCCCCAGAAGGGCAAAGGTTGGTCCTAGTACTTGCATAGAGGTGAGCGAGGGCCTGCCATTTTGACATGCCAACTGCAATCATCTCCAGGAACAAACAAGCAAATGTGTGACTGCTAAGCCAACTTCTTTCAAGCAACTCACTCATTTTGGTACCACACAAGTGGTGCCAATTGGCTTCCCGGGACCTTGAAACAAACAACCACTTTCACGGTGATGAGGCAAGCACATTGGCCGACGGATCAGCTGATGCCAGCTGTTGCTGTAGGCGAACCAGCCTCATGGGCAAACCCCTCAAACACCAACGGCTACCTCGATGGGAAAGCTTGACATGGTCATCGGGGACCTGTTTTTCCAACCCCACAACCTATCTTTGCTTCATTCTCTACCTACCTCCTGGTTTGAGACGGTCCCCGTGGTCATTCCAGCCTGCAGTCTTGGGTTGACACACAAGACCTGACTACAGTGGTTGAATCCAGTTGAGGACGACATACACACACACAAAACACACACAAACACAAAGCGACAACAGAAGAAGTGACAGAGTGCAGCTGTCATCGTTTGCTTCTTCCTTTCAGTCTGCAAGAGCTCCTCCTTCTCAGTATGCAATATTGTTCAGCTTTGTCGACCCAACTCGTTTTGCAGCAAGACTACCAACGCAAAAAGTCGGCCGCCCGTAGTCCTCTCATTGTCTTGGTGCCTTTTACTTAGTCGACTTCCCATTGTGTTCCTGCAGCTCTTCCTTCTCGTCGCCTCGTGTAGTCTTCCATTGTCTTGCAGAAAGGCTTGCTTTTATTACACGCACTCACTGGCCTAAGGATTGCTGGAAAGGTTCTTGTAATCACGCGTTGATCGGTTGGTTGTCGGTTCGGTTGTCGGTTGGGTCGACAATCGAACTCTCATCAAAGGCGCACCTGGCCCTCTTATCGCTAGGTCCAGGTCTGAATGCCCGGCCGTGAAATACTGCACAACACCAAATCAAACTCTATTCAACTGTTCAAAATCCATTTCGAATGCACCGCTTCTCCTACTATGAGCGCGTCCCCTTCGTCCTTTGTCAGCTTACATGGGTCTTGCAACATTCTAGAACACAAGGGACGTCCCTTTACACAACTAATTGGGAGTGGGTGTTGCTTCCCTCCCAGGTGGAAGCCCACTGACTAGGTTGGAGCCCTGTGGCCATGGGGAAGTTGGGAAACGGGCACCCACTTTTGTTGGTAGACTGCAAAGGCAAACCCATCCAAAAAATCTGGCACCAGGTTCGGGCCAGTCACACCAGGGAGCGCCGATGCCTGAAACCCCCCGAGCCGCCTGTGATGGAACAGGCCATAATGAGAAGGCGTGGCAAAGGCCTTGGCTCGAGCCTTTTGGCCCACTTTGACTCCTGGGGATTCTCAGGCAGACCGGTGGCCGTTTCAACCTACGGTCAATGCCACAGACGCGTGATGGGAATCCAGGATTGATTAAAGCCCTGGTTGATTGTGATGGCCGTTACACATAACAAATAGTCCATGTTCTACTCCCCTGCACACCGACATGGAACCCCAAAAGAGGCCATATAAACCGAAACACGATTTTCTCTAGAGACGCTGGTTTTCTGGGTTCCACGTTAAGCTGCAGGGAAGATGTCGCTTTCCCACGCGACAAGGATGGCGCCAGCTTGGGGAAGTCGAGCTTCAGGACTTCCTCGGAAGCTTGCCCAGCGATATTTGACGACGCCGCGCAAGAAAGCGCTCAACATGACTGTCGCGCGTGTTCTTAGTCTGGAGATCGTGTGCCCTAAACATGTTGGATTCTGGCATCCGACCCCTCTCTTTTGCAAACTGTGAGCGGTGCAGGCCAAACTGAGGTCGAACTGACTGTTTCTAACGTCTCTGAGACGCCCGCCGAAGCGCAAGCCGCCTGTCTGTCCAGCCTGGCGCGGTCGCTCAAGCCAAGATCCGAAATCGCAGCTTCGTGCGTGATCTGCAGCAAACGAATGCCCATGGAGATTGTGACTTTGCTGAGTGTCTTTGTTTGTCACAATTGCCCAAAGCAGAACATTCCTCCCAAAGGGGGCGTTCGCTGTCTATAGATCATGTGGCCAGTGTCCGCGAAGCAGCCCTTCGCTTACCATCCTTCAGCGCATCAGTCATTGTCTGGAAAACAACTCCTCCCCCTCGCAACTCTTCACCATGCCATCAGCGCTTTGGATTCTGCCCATCAGCCCCCCTTATGACACTCATGAGCAAACCCTCAGTCCCCGGCCAAGCCCAGTGGTTCCAGGCATAGTAGTGGTGGTCATACCTGACATGCCACGCCTGGAGGTGGGGGCAAACAAGTGAGCGGTGACCCATTTCACCTAAGAGCTGACGTCATAAAGGACTATATGAGCCCTGATATGACGCCACTGAAGCCGGATAGTAGAATCACTTGTTGACGTGGCCGCTTAGCGTTTGGGCTCTGCTCAAGTGATGCCCCCGGCACCACACACTCAATATGCTTTGTTCTCCTTGCAAGTTCAATATGGGCAATTGGATGTTGTCCCTTCGTCTTGCGGGAAATTTGGGGCTGTCCCCCCACGTGATTCTCAAACACGCCCGCCCACCAATGCACACCGCATGCAAACACCCCATCGCCAAGCGCGGTCGCGTCCCCTCCCTTTGGGTCCACCCCCCACAATCCAAATGCATACAAAGCTGTTGCAATCACGATCACGTTTTGGTCATCTACGATGAGATACGCATCGAAAGGCCGAGCTCTGCTGGAAGTGTCATTCTTTCGGGGGAACTTTGTGCTGTAGTGGTTGATTGAGGGAGACCTAAAGGGCACCAACCAATTTTGGGGTACATTTCCTCATTTTGCAGCAAACCCGTTTGTCTGTTTGATTGGGGTGTCTGCAATGAGTCAAACGGAATCAACAGGACCACGATTTAGGGGATCCCAATCCCCCAAAACAATGATTCTGTGGCTTTCGCACCTCTTCGCCAACTCCTCCACCAGGGACAGCTCCTGCAATATGTCGGAAGTGCACGAACGCATGGACCCTGCATCTCTCCCTGGGTCCACTGACTTTTTCTTGCAAGTTAAGGCACAAGGAGCGAACCCTGCACATTGGACTGGAAGCTTTGGACCCGGCCGATAGATTCGGACCACAGGAACCCACCCCCCGCATTCTGCCTCTGAGAGCAGCTGTGGAGCTGCCTGCACCAAGCGTAAAGATATGGGCGAAATCCCCAGTACGACGTTATGGCTTTAAAGGGGGTACACTTGGTATCACAGAACATGGCTGATGAGGCTGAGGATGGGCAAGTTTCGCACCAGTTGTGATGGATGAGACAAACCATCGACCAACTCGTGCAGCATGTTGTGCATCAGTAGCAAATCTGAAAGCACACACCCGTGACCTCGATTCAAGGCTTCCTGCTCAACCAAATTCACCCAAGTGGTTCATGTTCATGCGGTCATGGAAAACAAATGGAGGGCTACTGACTACGCTTGTTGTGGGATTCTGGATGATTCGAGTCTTCTTGTCAATGACACAGGACAAGCCCGCCCCAGCCATTTTCTATTGACTACAAGTACCTCCTCAGCGTCACCAGCATCCCTGGCATCCACCAAACCTAACCTTCGCCCATCCGGCCCCCCCACCCAGATCCTCAAGCAAACCCAGCCTTCACTGAACCGAACCCAAGGCAATCCCGAACTAAGCTAAGACCAACTCCAAACCCTTAAGCAACATAGCTCTAGACCACACACCTTAAACCAGACCGCAACGCCTTGTGGACTGAAACAACCTAAAGCTGATCCAGGACCAAACCCAAACTAAGCCCGAACCAACCTTACACTAAGTCTACACCCTTTACTCTCAGCGCACCCGTAGCGCATTAGCCAACCATCAAGTGACCTCCTAAGCATTATATAGAATGTCTCGCTTTTTTGCTTCTTTTTTTTTTTTTTGGGGGGGGGGGGGGGCAAATGGGGCTGTTGCCCAAAAAGGCCCCTGCTAGCAAACACAGTCGACCCGTTTTCAAAAAGGATAAAAACACTCAGTCTCGCGGTTCTTCGGGCAAAGGGGCCCGTTGCCCACAAGAAGCTCACTGATGCCATGGGCTGCCATGGGCCTGGAGCTACTTTGACGGTCTGCCCCTTAAGGCCTGTGGGTGAGAATAGAGAAACCAAACAATCTATGACTCACGTCAATGTTAGAATCTGCTAAGGAGTTCAGTGGCTTCACATTTCCCATACATTTCCCATGTACCTGCTTAGAAAGAGCAATAGCTGCCTAAGAATACAAGTGAAACTGGCCAGATCCAAATCCTTACATCTTGGCAGCTCCAGAGCAACTGGCTGGATGGGGATTCATGTCCACCAACCATTTGGGAGGGCGTTCCTCACATTTGGGTCGAAGAGACACCCCTCGCCTTTTCGTTCTGTACGGGCCCGCCCCTTAACCTTCTTCACAAGCCCGGAACACTGTAAACCGATGCTCGGCAAAAACAACACTACACATAGAAGTCTTGAAGACGTATCAGGTCCAGGTTGTTGCAAACCAAGCTTGCGAGTCAGAAAGTTGCAGGGCCCAAACCGATACCCAAACCGATGCAATTAAAAGTTCACAAAATCAGGAATTGGTCCTTGCATCGGTTCAGATGCATCACATACCGAATTGCTGGGAACCAATGCACCACGAGTCAACTCGCCGCCGCCCTGTCCCACTTGCCTGCAAGGCTCGGCTCAGCAACAACCGCCGGTGAGCCCAGGTCTCGCCTCCCACAAAAAAACGCGTTCACCAAGCCTTGCGGCCCAGGGTTCCCCCATGGAAAGTTCACCATCACCCCTACACAACTCATCTTATATGAGCCAGGAAGGTGATGTGTAATACCACAAACAATAGAAAAAGAGGCCCTTTTAGGATGGTTCTCTGTTTGCTCTTGGAAAAAGGGAAACCCAAGAGCCGCCCACCCTGAAGGCTGCCTTTCGTGACAAACGGTGACATCTGAGGGACACCCAGACACTTTGTTGACCGGAACTTCCGAGAGGTGATCAATGAGCTCGCGTTCTGTGAACCTGACTCCCTGAGCCTCGGACCGACAAGCACTTGTTTCCCCAAGAGGACATGACCCACAGGCCATTGATTGACACTGGACTTTGGCGACTAATCCCATTTCCTTAATGGTATTTTTGTCAGTGTGACGCATATCATTACAACAAATATTGGCCCTGTCACATGGGGAAAAATGCTCTTCCTAGTTTAACGATTGTTTAAATATCTACAATTCACTTTGACAGCGACTCATGATCTAAAATCGACAGGGGACCACCCATAACTGATACCCACCAAAGTGTGAAACCGACTTGGGCCTACCCAACACCACAGCCGCCGATGCGGACCCCGATGCGTACGGCAAGACAAGGTGGCCTTGCACTCTCTCTCGACAAAGCGACCATGTCTGAGCAATTGGGCACGTTCGGAATGGCAGTCCTTGCTATTGACCATGAACGCACGATATTCTTGTCAATTGGATGTGAACTCATCTTGCTGGTTTCTTGCCACAGACTCCAGATTTCTCATTGGTTGGCCTAAATTTGAAGCCGACATTCGCATTGCAGCCGGGGAACCGCTCTTGTGGTTGGTCCTCAACAGCATCGCACTGAACAGGAGTTCGGCCTTGCCAGGACAGACCCAAGGGCTCGCCGCTTCTGGAGTCCAAAGCCACAAGAACCAAAGGGCGGCTGTGACTATTTATGGTTGGCATAGGCTCCTAACCTTCACCTACTGGGCTCTCATTGCGGCTCACCTGAGTGCTCGCTCGCTCCGCTCTCCCTTTGTCAACGCAATGAACATTTAGCCGCCTTCATTCTGCTTGTTTCAATGCTGTTTGTAGTCCACCCTGGCATTAAACACAAGGAACTATCTCATGCCGGTTCTCCGCACAAACCTTGAACATAGTTGGGTAGCTTTGCTTGGGCGCATTATTGGAATGTAACACAAAAAACATGTTGTTCTCCCCACACAAACAGGCCTCCTGTTGCACCAATCTTGCTGATGTCCTTGGGGAACGTAGGGTTTAACTCCAAACCATGCCCTGTTTCCAACATTCTGGCAGTGGACAGCATGCCTTGAGATTTCCTAAGATGATGGTAGTCTTCCAGAACCATCTGTGATTGTTGAACACAGGCGAGTCAAAACCCAACTTGGTGCTAAATGGGCGTACCCAAACCATGTCAGAAAACAAGGCTGGTCCCCTACTAACCTTCATCTACCCAGGAAATGAAAATGGCCAAGAGTGCTCTGAAAGTTCCTTCTCGCGACTTCAGGAGCCATCCCTCTTTCACTGCGACGAAAGAGTGGGGTGTTAGACACGACACGACCCGAGCTCTGAGGCCCGGGCCGCTAAGTCCAAATGCGGCAGCAGCTTCTCCCTGCATCTCCAAGCGCCTCTCTCCGGCCGGATCCGCGACTCGTCGAATTCGATTGGAACCCAAAGGGTGCCGCACACCGCAGACTGTGGATGGAGGAAATCCGTTCGCACCACTTTGAAACCAGTGGAAACCAGTGTTTATGGGCATTTACAGGGGAATCACCAATCCAGGGCTTCTTAGGCGGTGCAGGAATTCGTCCATCCACAGTATGTTTGGGCTCGCCTAGTTTTGAGACAAACCCATTTGTCATTGTGAAGCTTAGCAAGAGGGAAATTGAGAAAAAGAAGATTTGGAGATCTCAAGCCGGAAACTGACAACCCGGGGTTAGACCAGCTTTCCCCATAGCCAAGGTTCGATTTCCCAGCCTCAACCTGCATCCCAATTGCTAGACCAAACAAAGTTCAAAGCTGGGAAAGCTGGCAACCAAATCCGGAAGCATGACTTGTGCTCACTACGAGAAACAGCCCAGATATCGAGGATACTGCCACTAACCCTGAATTATCAAGAGTAAAACAACTCATTTCGCAGTAGTGTTGGCAAAGCCGACTTGCACAGTGTCCAATGCTCATGACACGGCCTGCGCAGTCTGCGTTGCACAGCAGCACGGCGCGAGAGCTCTCATCAGCTAGCTGAATGCTGGCCTCAAAATGGCTTTGGCGCTGAGCAGCAACCAAAACCCGAGCTGATACATGTAGGCACCTAGTATGGGCACTGCTCAACTGGGGTCTAAGAATCGGGTCCTTTCACAAGCTGGAGCCCGTTGGCTAGAACCGATCTAAGATTCCACGGTTCTTGGATGATTGGTCGGGACCGGGCGCGCCTTTGACTCCCCCACCATCTCAAAAGGGGGAGCGGAGCGGGGCGCGGGGGAACACCCATTCCATTTATCCAGTGAGAAGTGACGTATAACAAACACTCTCCTGGCGGGAATGCTAAGGGTGTTGCTGGTGATGTGCGCCACCAGCGCGGAGGAAGACAAACGGCAAATCCCGAGATGGCTAGGCGAAAGCAATCGGTTCTTGGAACAGTCCACCGTTTCAAGGCATTTGCTTGGAAAAGTGGGTGGAGCTGATCAATGATTCAAATCAAGCTGAAACGTGGAATCTGTCCGACCAAACTGATGCGAAACAATCAAAGGAGCTCTGGACTTGTGGCCAAATTGCGTTCTTTATTCCGTCCATTCCATCTTTTCTCCGTCTATGTTCGTTTTTGATGTCCCTTTGCCCCTCCAACGCTGCCGGCGGTTTGGCGGAAACTGATCGCTCCGGCCACTGGGCGGCTTGGCGCGATCAGTCGGCTCGGCGCCGATCGCGGCGAGGGCGTGCTGCATGGCCTCGAAAGGCGGCCTTTGGCTGAACACGGGGGGTTGAAACAAATTGAGACCACAAATGGCCAACAAAACACCCATCTAAATGAAGCAAGCAGTTGGCAGGATCACTCTGGAGCAGAGGCAGAGATGTGGCCCACATTTGGGGTGCACAGAAAGTAAAATGTTCAGATACCTGCTGTCAAATGCACAGCCTGGCTAAATGCAAGCAGAACAGCAGTTGGTATATTTTGTTACCCTCTGAACCCACAGGGTCCCTTTTCGAGGAGAATGGTCTTCCAGCCCTGCAGGTTTCATGGTAGGGAACAAGTACCAAAAAGGCCACCCAACACACCCAGTAAATGAAGCGATCAGTTGGTATTACTCCAGGTTTACTAGCTAATTATTTGAGCAATCTTGAAACATACCGAAGCCCTGTTGGCTGCCTGGTTTCCCATGTTCTAATCGGCGGTTGTCGAAGTGAAGCGAATCGAAACACGACTCAGCACCCTTTTCGTACCTGGGAAAAATCAAAGGCCGCCACCCGGAAGCCATGCAGGTAGACCAGCAAAGCGCCCTGGCTAAAAGACGGCCACGACGCTCGCCCGCTTCTAGCCCTGCCCTTGGCTAGTGCATAGGAAGCAAAACTGTTCCATCTCTATGCTTTGAGTCCAAAAGTTTGGAACACATCATCCAATCACCTTCTTCTATGATCATACGAAGACATGCCAGCGGTTTGGTGCATATAGGCCCGCTTTGGCAATACAAATCACGAACTCTTTCACGGATCCGCCCTGTCGGAAACAAGAGATGTAAGAGCTCACTCTGACTTGCTTCGCCCATTCCTTGATTGGAAAACATGGCGCGCCAAGCGCCTCAATGGAGATGGCCAGCTTGTGCTGCGCAGCTATGCAGCCAAGATCCTAGCTGAGCCGTTCCACTCCCCAAATTGATTAAAACACAAAACATATGGACATCCCCCAGCATCAGTGGATTTTGAACGGGCTTTGTAGGCGCAATACAGTACATTCGCATCTTATGGTGGGGTAAGTTCACTTTGGGTATATAAGTAGGGACTTAGATCCATCCAAGGGCCCAAACACTGCTTTCTTGCACATGACTCAACACGTCACCCCTGCAACGCTTCATGCACCAAGATGTAACCCAAATGTTTTGCAGCTCTGATGCCAGCTTCATGGTGGAATATCGATATCCCGCGATAAAATGCTTTTGTTCCCCTGTTGCATCCAAGGGTGCAATTACGTATACCTGTTGTGAGGAGAGGAGTATGAACCTGTGCAAGCTTTCTTGGGTCGCTTACCTAACAAATGTGTAAAGGGGGTAGGTGCATCCCTAGATTGTACGTGATTCGAAGTATGCATATAGATGCTACATAGTGTTCTGCCATGCAGCAACAAAAGAAGCCATTGTGTACTAGCTTGATACTGGAATCCCAGGATTAATAAGTCGTCCTTCAGTTTTGGGGCAACTATCAATCCGCAAGGTTTATGAATAGCCAGAAGTGAACAGGGCGCTGACTGGCCTCCTCACCTTCATCGCCGAAGAGATTGGGGCTCGCGCAGGGAACCAGCGCGTACCTTGGCCACAAGGCTACCCATCCGAGTTTGGCAGGCAAGGCAATGGGTATCAATGGTCCACTGTTCTGCTTGCGAGTCCCCTGCTTTTGTTTGGAAATTGGTTAAGTCCCCAATGTCGCTGCCAAGTAAAACATACACTCTCGTAGACTTTGACCGAACCTCACATCAAACGACGCTTCATGCAACTATTTTTTGCTTTGAACAAGGTAACACTTTGCTGAGCGGCTCGTCGATCGCTGGATCATCTCGGAACGCAGCGGTCAGACGCTCCAGAAGAATCGCCATGCGAAATGCCAACCATGAGTTGAAAATGCAATAAGCTCGAGGCATTGCAAGGCGTCAACCTCATTGACCATGCTGGCTCACTTTCAGGACTAAAGAAGGGCACAAACCACTTGTTGGTCGTGAAGGAAGAGACGGATTGTTGATTGCTTGATTGCAGTATTCTTCGCGACAGGATCTTGTGAGCCATCACACCAGACCATGCTCTTGCTCTACCCGTCTACTTCAGGTAACAACTTTGTACAGGATATTATTTGGAACATATTGGTCTTCCCTGGTAAATCCATGCTTTTAGTCTGGGGTTGACGTGCCCTAAATCAAGCGGGTACTTGCAGTATATATGGGATACCTGCAGGTCACGAACCAACCCGCAGCCTAAGGCAGGGATACCCAAGAGCAAGGTCATCGGCCACCCCGTGTCGGTGAGGCTCATAAGACTCATAAGTGTAGATCTCCTTAGGTGGCTTTCCGGTCACAACTTGAGCTGGACTAGGGAGTAAGTTGCAAAGACTCGCGCAAGTTGCCAGGCTTAAGTGACGACCGCTTTGCGAGTGCCATTTCGCCGGATCGCCCGCCAACATAAACTCAAATGGCTCTTTTCTGGTCCTGCGAGTGGCTCTCTGGAATGGATGACTTGGGCGCCCAATGGCGGCAAGCTCGTGGCACGGATCCACCGACTCGGCGAACTGCGCCGTTTCGTTTGGTGCCACTGAAACACAACAACTTGTTTGGGACGCAAATGGTCGCAGCCAGCCATCCACAGCGGGATTTTATGTACAAGTCGGCGCGCATCACAACTGCACCTTGGAAGGCCAGCGTGTTGGTCCGTGGCCGGCCGAAAACTTGCGAACTCCCAAACGAGTTAGTGGGAGGGTGTGTACTTCCAGGTTGAAAGCGAAACCAAAAGGCAAACCACCACATATTGCGGGGAAGGGGTTGCCCGTGACGCATTTAAGGCCAAGGCTTCGTCGTTGAATGGGAAATCCAGGCCCTTCTTGCCCAGCAGTGGTGGTGCATGACCTGGCATTGTCATGCTTATCACGGGAGGCTGTATTAAGCAGTGTCCAAAATGAGGGTAGGACAGTGTTCTGAAGGTGACACGTTGCGATTCGACAGCACACCACATCTACTGTACCAGGATGCTAAACAGCACTCGAGCGTTGGCCGCGTGCGGGATGAACCCAAGCTTGGCTTGGATACTGCCCACAACACGCACGCATGCACACACACACACACTAACTGTCACTGGAAGACCCTTTCAATGGTAGTGTACTTGATCCAAATCTCCATCTGGGTGTGTCCCGACCGGGAAATCATGGGAAATCTGGAAACCCCGAAATAGGGGCTTCCCTTTTGCAACGCCCTTCTCCACAAGGCCAAAGGCTACCCTCAAGCAGGGCAGGGCCCATGGGAGTTTTTTGTCGTGGAGACCGTGGCATTCGAAGCCGGCAGCCCCCAAACGTGCAGCCGGCGCCGTACGACAGCATCCGGAGTTGAAGCCACACCTGCCGGACTCAGGTAAGCACTGGGACACATCCCCTCAACAAGCAGACAACTTGAACCCAGGGCTTCCTTGTGGAAACGAAGCACCGAAAAACCTTTCTCCAATCTCGGAGGGGCGTTGTCAAGATGCTCTTTTAACCGCCCCTTCCACTTCTATGATTGGTGGAACGAGGGCAACGACCCAACAACCGGAAATGACAGGCTGACGTAGGATGGCCGAATGGCCAAAGGCCATCCTATCCAGCTGGCTCCTGATAGCAACGGCTCTGCAAGCAGCTTGCGCCTTCCTTCCCGCGTCAGTCTGGAAGAAGTAGTAAGCCTGCTCAACCAACACTTGAGCCACAGCAAGACACCGCCACGTACTCTTAATAGACGACTTGAACATGTCGGGGACTCAAAGTTTAAAGGTACCTGTAAAAACCCGTCAAGGGGCAGGCTGGGCTGGCTGGTCTCTCCGATTTTCGGGCACAGCGAGTCAGTTCCAAACCAGGCAAGGCGGCAAGGCCCGCCAGGATCCCAAGCGCAAAAAAACTCGGCTTCCCGCTTCCAAAATTGATATGGTCATTGATATGGTCATGAAATTGATATGGCACTTCAACGTGAAGTACAAACATATCCAATGTATTTCTGATATCCACCAAACACCCCATGTCCACATGAAAAACTCGTAGCCCACTACCCTTTCTGCTTTGAGGGTTGATTAAAGGGAAACTGAAGGAATCCATCCAGATTCAGGGGGTCTAGCAGCTTTCAAGACAAACTCGCCCGGCAGACGGCCACCAATAGGATCGAGACCAGCAGCAAGGCCTGGCTGCCACGGGGGTCAAGGTGGATGACACATCGTTTTCCCCTGAAGCAGCAGCCAAAGGAACGGTACAGTGGATGGACGAAATCCTGCACCACTTTGAAACCATGGGACACCGTTGCTTGTTGGTATTTGTTCGGGGAATCATCCTTCCAGGGCTTCTTAGGTGGTGCAGGATTTCGTCCATCCACAGTATCCTATCTTTGGTCACACAGTGGAAGAGCTCCTCGAGTCGAAAGGAGTAGCGGTCCTTTTTCTGGCAGAGCATGTGATCCGAGTGGAGGGGTCCTCACGAACATGACATGTGCTTTGAAAACGCCACGTCCAGAAGGCGTCCCTTCATGTCACGACCGAACCATGACTGTGGTTGGGCAGTGAGTCATGGTGTACTCCCCCAGGCATGTTGAACAAAGTCACACACCTAGTCTACGCAATCTAACTCTTCGCAAACCTGGATTAGAGAATTCCAAGCTGAGCTCAGTTGATCTCCTGTGAGACCGTTTGCATTCCTCCAACGAATTGGTCAGCTTCCAGGAAGACTTCTCGGAATAGGATTGAGCCACGGGAGGCAGCCGTGCATGGACCTTATCAGCCACCTTCTCACCTCGAAACTATAGAGGGCACAAAATCCTTAATCCAAGAAGCTAGGCTGGAAATAGGACCCCAGCAAACCATTATCTGTTTTGCCTGGTTAGTGGGAAACAAAGGGACCCCCAAAAAAGCCAAAACAAAAAAGGGAGCTACTTCTGGGGAAGGAAGATGGGTAGACCATCTTTCACTGGGCTCCCAAAACTATAAGCAATCAGTCTGAGCCATTGGAACACTTAACAAGATCTTCAACTACGGATCAAAGACTCCACACTCAGAACACATCCCTGATCTCAATAATTAACACATGGTGCGCTATAACGCACATTGTTTCCATCCAGGTTGTGTAGTACCGCAGCTAAACTTAGCCGAGATCTCCCAACGAACCGGATCCAGCCGGCCCTCCTCAAGGTGTCATGTGACTACTCCGAAAATGGCGGGTTGCCTGAGCCCGTAAAAGAAACCTCACACGATCCCTATTTTCTTCTTCATACTTCGCCGCGGGCGGAACGCATCTTTCGGATGGGTCAATGATGCACAATGAATCCATTCCACATTCGGGTTCTCAGAATGATTGTTCAACATTTGGGATGTAGAATCACATTTCGCATAGCATCCACGTCAAATTTGAGACAGCGCTCTAGTTTTTGATTGCCGTGGGAATGCTGCTCCAAATTGTTGAAATGAAAGAAATGTTGTCGCCGCAATCGCTCAAACCCTAGGATACACGTAAATCCAGAAAATTGAAGTCCTGCAAAGGACACCCCTGGTTTTAAGCCTAAACAAAGAATTATGATTTGCAACAATTCCAATGCAACCCTTTTCAGCTTCCCCCTACTTGGTGGTTTGGTGGTTCAGGACAGTTTCCTATTTACCCACAAGATCACCAATCCAAAAAATCAATTTGGGGATACTTGAAGTTTGAGGGTTTGAGGGTCTCTACATATATATATATATATATATGTCATTATCATCCAAGAAATGGGCTTTGGTTTAGTGGCTGTTTTGTTTAGTGGCTGTTGCTAGAGTATTGTTTCTATATGTGTATTACATTAAAAAAAATACACTATATATAAATATACATATAAATATATATATATATATATAAATATAAATATATTTGGGTCCAGGCCCAAACCGCAACACCTCCCGACCCCCTAGGCCCGGGCCCAAGAGCTCGGCCAGCGGCTGTGGCTCGGCTGGGCGCTGATCTTCTGAGACATCTGCGGCGACTCGTACGCATCCGGGGCATGTGGCTCTCACACACTCCGGGGAACATTTGGACCACAAACAAACCCTCCAAATAGGTCAGGTATATATATATATATATATGTATATGTGCATATATATATATATATGTATATGTGCATATATGTATGTACATATGTTTATGTGTATATGATATATACATATACAAACATTGTATATGCATGCATGAATGTATGTATGTATCACCCGCATGGATCGTGCTGAATATGTCCCCCACATTCCTACATCACCCCAACAGACTCACCCAATATTATTTTCACATAACGGGAACACAGGGACTCTCGCATGAGGTTTGCCCAGCATGTCCAGTATTTCTGGTCTGGTGTCGACAAAGTGTCCTGCAACAGGTCTTCTTGTCGCAGTCAACAGTACGAATACTTACGAATACAGGACATGGGGAAACTAGGGCTCCCCTGTTTTGTTCATTGGAGTTGGTACCAATGGCACCTGACTCAAATTTCCGTGTCCATAAGTCTATCCAGTTCCCTCGGGTCACAGCACGCTTCGAGTTCGCAAAACAAAACAATAAATCCAACCTCGCAACCGGGAAGCATCTCAGCTTAACTGGCCAAAACAATAAATAGGCAACACCTGGACATGGTTCTCTCTGAAACCATCCAAAGGGGTACCCAATTTGAAGACAAGGCGCCCTGCTCATACACGACTCCGTGCTGTTCGGCCAGGGTGGTGCATCACATCTGCCGAGCTTTGAACATGCTGAAGGCAAATGGGTGTGTAGTCGACGCGCTCAAGACAAAATGCATAAAGGTTGTAGCATTTGCCGCAAGGCAACTTGCTTCACCCGAGCTGACCCTCACTGGAGCCCAAACAGTGCCTG